ATTGCTCACTCACAATACTCCCTGTTTACTTTCGTCCACTCTTAGATTATCCTGGTAGGGATAGTCAGAATTGGAGTTGGACCCAGAGTTTAGTGGTTGACGCCTTAGTCGCGGAGTGCAGCGGCTTAGTGTGAAATACATCAGCCACCAGTCACTACTTCCAGCGTTTCACGTGCAGCTCGGACTAACGCTGCCTGAAGAGTATAGAGGTCACCGGTCATGGAGCACACTGTTGGGAACAGACAACGCCGAAACCCCTGAACTTCGTATGCCGTCCTAGTGATCGTGATGGCGGAATTGTCCTTTAACCTAAACCACGGCCGCCGCAGTTGAGAGTACATGCAGCCATTTAGACGCAATGATGTATGTATGTATGTAATCTCAGTAGTCTAGTAACTAGACATAGAGCCAACAAAGCCATGGAAATCAGTAGATAAGAGACAGTCATTGCGTCATAATCGTCGTGGCATGCTAGTTGAAGGTGAGCAACACACTTCAGCTAATATGCCGCAAGAAGAATGGAATATATTGACAAAAATACAGAACAAAACATTTTTAGTTTGTTTGTCACACGCCGATTTTTCTCTTTTTTTGTCATTTTCAATGTTGGTAGTATTAAACATGTGAATCAATACAACACTGTACACAATTCTTCCACTGATTCCGGTTGCGGGCCATGTCTTCAAGAGTTCTAAGCCTTTGGCACTCCTCATCTTTGGGTCCCCATCCTGAAAGACGTACGGATCCAACAGCGACCAGACACGACGTGAGCGATTTCATGTGCTGCCGCCAAGTGGAAGCCAGACCACGCGGTCGCTTCCAGCCAGGTCCTTGACGAGCGAATAGAGCGCAAAGCGGTAGACGCTCAGGTGCCATGCGTAGGACATGACTGAGCCATCTTAACTGGCGCAACAAAACCAGTTTGTTGAAGGAAATACTTGCGTTCCCCAAGACGCGACGTCGAACGTCATTACTGGTAACTCGGTGTTGCCACCGAACACGAGCGATCCTCCTTAAGCAACCGTTATCGAACGCAGAAAGGCGACGCATGTCTTCCACGCGAATCGGCCAGGACTCGCTCCCATACAACAATACTGAGCGAACTGACGCGCTGTAAACTCGGCCCTTTAGTGAGAATGAGACGTCGCGACGACGCCACAAGTGCCTCAGATTGACAAATGCTGATCGAGCTTTAGCGATACGAAGCGAACCTTCTTTGTTGATAGTGGCGTCAGCGGAAACACAGCTCCCGAGGTAGACGAAACTATCTACCTGTTCAAGTTGTGCACCTTGGAGAGTGAGCACGGGTGCAGGTGAAAGCCAATCCTTGAGCAGTACTTTACACTTCGATGGAGCGAAGCTCATGCCATACTTAGATGCTTCAACCGCAATGAAGTTACTCCGAACTCCTGCTGTGAGAAATGAATGAAGTTAGTTGTGTGTTCTACCTCCTGGGCATTCACTCTTGGATCCGCTACTTCAGTTGTTCGGATCCCTTTCAAGCACAGTGCTTTCGAAGGCACAGTGACGCCCTTCCATTGATCGTCATGCTTCGTACTCTCAGTTTCTTCATCTCATCAACTTTTTCTTTTCTACTTTCATTTGCTCCAATTTTCTTTATAATTTCTATCTCACCACTGCCTTTTGTTTAGCAGGCAACTGTGTTCCTGTTTATCCTACTACCTCGTCTGTGCATTTGTCCTCAAAGATTCGCTCTTCGAATTCGTTTGTGTTATCTCATGGTTGCCCGTGATTGAGTGATCCTCAATCCCGGATTTGTTTTTGTTTACTCTATGTCCATGGTGATCCTCCTCATTGACTGTGTTGATGTGCAATTTGAATACCTCCATATTCTCTGTCATACTGGTATTGAACTTCATATTACCGTGGGTTGTTTTACCATAAATGCCAAAATCTCTGTGTGTATGAGTATGCGTGAATTGTACGACCTTCTCTGGGTTGAATTCACACGGATAACTGTCACTGTGTAATCCGCGTTGGTTCTCTTTCATTCCACACACGCGTACATCGACCTAAAAAAGGAGACTCTTTAACCCTTTGTAATGCGCCACCTGATACCATCAGTTATGCGGCTTATTTAGGTCAACAACAGTTCACTCCTCTCAGGAATCTCTTACTGCGAAATATTTTTACTTTATCGATTGTTTGTACTGATTTTGTGATTCTCCAAGTGCTGTTTTTCCAAATTACCCGGAACATACTGGTATTCCAAGTATTTGATACCGCCGTTTCTGATCTCGCAGCCTGTGGACTGTTTCGTTTACCTTGGACTTTCATTGTGACGGTCAGCATCTTCAAGACTGTGCACTACAAATTACTGCGGGTGTCTTGCAATGCACTCTGAGGCCAAGTTTGTCGAATCAGCACCAAGCTTCCACACCCTTTGGGTTTCTATGGTGGGACATCGAAAGATTAACTCGTTTTCTACTTTGTCCGTCGTTTTTAGACCGTATTTCATTCCTGGTATGGTTCTAGCCCTCTGTGTTTTATCACCGCATTGATCCAGTCAGCCGAGCATCGTATTTTTCGAAGCTAGGCATCCGTGCAGCATAATTGTCAGCTTGAATCAAAACAACACTGTTCAAGAAACCCGCCTTTCAGGTTGATTGTATAACCAGCTTTTGTGCCCCTTGCTGAGGCTGATGTTGCATTCATGATGCTTCTTCACCGCAGTTGGGCTAAACCAACTTACACTTAAACTAGGTCTTTTTAATGTGGATAAAATTCATTACATGTTATTTGGTTTGTTCTGCGTACTTGATAATCTCCTCCTTACTTGCACACGTCGCCCCTACGCAAATTGTGGTAAACTTGCGTAATTTTATCGCGTGGTATTTTTTAAATAACTTTCGGACATTTTGTACTTATCACGGATTCACTTATAACCAATTTCTTCTATATGCTCATTTAGCGAGTATTTATGTCGTCATATGCGTTTACTTTAATCGATATCGGCATTTCGAATGATTGGCTGTTGCTTGATATCCCTGATGTGGCTGCGCTTGATGTGCATGTTGACAAAGTGCCTACCTGTCTATTACCCACTACCTCGTCCATACTGGCTCCAGGAGACACTTGGTCGTTGCTGGAGGGGACGGGGTGCACGGTCCTTGTGGTCGTGCTAGGCTCGAAGAGTGGTTCCATGCAGTCAGGGTGGAGCGGACTACGGTCCAGCCACCGCCTTGTGTGCGGTTAATTCCCCAAATGCAGCGTGCTTGTGTTTGTCTGTGAAGGAGTGTGGGCCGGCTCCGTTGATGAAACGTGGCTCCCATCCGCATGCCTCCCGGTCCTATTCCTTCGGGTTTACACTGGATATGGGGTGTGTGGTTGGAGCTGTGGGTGGTGCAGCGCAAGCCATCCATGGTCCCTCTGTAGGCGCAGGCGTCCTGTGACTGACCACAGTGACAAACAAATCCGAAACCGGATGCCGCCAACCATAACCAGCTTTTGGTGGCTTCCATTAGGCATGACTGCTTTACTTGTGACAATGCAGATGATTTGTCTTGTTCTACAGTCCCAGAGTGATTGTCACAGTTCAACGTGACATCTGACAAGAGCATCACGCGTTGTAATGCCTTACGTTGTCAAATCAAACGTTTTTATCCTTCATCGCACGTATTGGGTTGGGGAATACAATTGCTCTACTGTCTATCGTCATTGCTGCGATCCTCTAACCTCATCACCGCGTCACCACCTGCTACATTGACATCACAATGCCCATAATCGACTGAATGCTACTTCAATTTAGCCTGTTGAGAGTACCCAAGGTACATTGCTCTGATAACCTTTCTCACCACGGTTGTTGAAGCACGGTGGCTATCCAGTTTCGACTGAGTTAGCCACTTCGGGATTGCGTGCTGCACACGATCTTCTTTCCATCACCGTCCACTAGTGTCACTCTCTGTAAAGAGGGTCATACGGCTTATGGACAGTAGATCCATAATGACTGTCCGCCGCCGTCACCCATGGCTCAACGGCATATGTCGCTTTCTCGCAAGGGTAAAGTCATGAGTTCGTATCCCACTACCTTCGGGCGCTGCGTGCTACTGACGAGTTCCATTAGAACGAACCGGCCGTCTATCACTTTGTTGGATGTTTGGTGGATGTCTGGTTGAATTTAGCTACGAGGAATCTTCTCAACAAACAAATTAAGTCCCCCTACTACTCATTGTTGTGCTCATTATCCTCAACTTCGCGTCCCCAGACGCTTTGTTTTTGTCGATGCTTTGAAACCCAGCGTAATCTCGCATCTCCTGTTCAGTAGCTGTTCGGCTAATTTCACTCATTCAGGTACCCTATCATGTTTATTTGCTCTCTGTGATGATTGCATCTGACTCGGGTACTCTCACTTATTTTGATGCTGCTTAGAACTGTGGCGAGTCCCGAAGCAGTTTCATTTTGCCATGCTTTTTTCGATGCTCTTCACTTGGCCTCTTATTCAAGTATGTTTTTGGTCATAGCGGTGTCCTGAGGCTGGCTGGCCGAATCGTGTCCTCCGAATGGACCACCACATTATGGCATCTCCTTCACCGATCAGTTTTCTTCTCGTTCATTTACTTTTCAATCTAAAACTTAATCTATTTTTCGCCCTTTTGATTTATTTTGCTCTCTTTTGCTCCAAACTCTTATGATTGACTGCTACATATATTAATACAATGTGCCACACTCCAGTGATCCGACCACGATCGACTTTCTGACTTCATTCATGTAGTGATTTCTTTTTCATGCTTAACTTTCTCCTTTATTCGTTATCGATTGATTATTGACACACACATGCATATCAGGCCTGTGCTTCCTCTTCCCACTCGTCGAAGCATACTGGATTTACCGTGCAGCTTCGTTCCAGGGGATCAGTCTAACTGATCCGAACTTCCTTTTCTCTTATGTTTGGTTACATCGGTACTTTTAACTTTTGTGCTAATGTTATATTTTCTCCACACCTGCATTCTTATTTCGTATCTATCCCCACGCTTACACAGAACCCAAGCCACTCGATACCAATTCCAACGCACTCATTCACAGTCGTATGCCTCCAACCCGCAGGCGCACAACACACCCAACAAACCTCATCGACGTCCATCCACGTTCTGCGCTCTTGTCAGGTGACACTAGCGCCCGAAAACATTCCGACCCTTGTATTTTCGGCACCGCTATTCACGTAAGCCCGCGGTTCTTTTTCCACTGGCATCTGTGTGAACCATTGTTTCGTTTCACACCCAACCGTTCACCCTCCTCCCTGCGTCCCTTCTGTCTTTCTCTTAACTCTGACGCTTGTTCACTGTCTTGTTCAAAAGTTCGCCGACACCGGAGGTGATGTGTCGCTCTGCTTTACTTCAAGCGCCCCATACACTCTCTGGATAGCATTTGAACCACATTTGGCATCATGTGTTTCTGCATCCAAAGTGACGTTTAGCATAGTGTCGGATACATGTCCATTTTCAACTTGACAAATGGGGCTCTAAATCAGCTAGTGAACGTTTTTTAAAGGGCATGTTATCCAAGACACTAGTTGACACATGTCTCGCGTGCTGAATACGTGCAGTCTGAAATGTTCCCGCTTGAGGAGGGTAGTGATTTTCAGCTTGCGAGTAACATCACCTCTAACTAATATTGATGGCTTATATGCTGTGAGAACTGGTGCTGATACGCGAAGACAGACAGTCAGTGCCTCAAATCATTTGAAGATGTTCAAAAGTGGGTCAATAGTCAAGAAGCTCGAACTGTCAGTCTTCTCTTGGTTCCATTATCTCGACTATTTGGCTCAACCGTTCCTCTAGAAGTTCAGTTGGCTCGTGCTGTTAAGGAAGCCTGGTGGACCAATGGAGGAGGCAAGAGTAGTAGGCAAGTACCGCAAGCTCTTGCATCTGATCCGCACCACTGGTCCCAAGAAACCAGGCGTCAGTGAGACAAACAGAAATTGCGCTGGTTCACTGATACACAATAAGGGGCGTCGTATGGCTCATTGGGCGGAACACTTTCAAGATCAGTTCGGCTGGCCCACTGCTCCCGGACCTCTTCCTACTCAGGTGATGCAGGACGAGCCACGGACGGTTAGTTTTGAGCCTCCGTCGGAGGCCGAGGTCCGAAACGCGATCACAGCCCTCAATCGTTTTCGTGCCGTTGGCTCGGATTCCCTCCCACCTGCACTATTTAAGGATGGAGGTGAGGTCCTCTGCAAAACACTGACCTCCTTATTCAAACGTATCTGGAATGATGATTATCCCGGCTGATTGGAGCGAATCAATTATAGTGGCAATATACATGAAGGATAGTCGCACAGACTGTTTTAACCACAGGGGTATTAGCCTAACGCCAGTTGTGACAAAAGTACTTGCCTCGATTCTCGTTCGTCGCCTCACTGTGGAACGGGAATTTCGGATTAGGGAAGAGCAGGCTGGTTTCCGCTTAGGGCGTGGCTGTATAGACTATATATTTACTTTGCGCTAGTTGCTAGAGCAGTGCCACGCATACCGCAGACTGACAATAGCTGTGTTCCTCGATTTCTAGAGTGCTTTCGATATAGTTGGTCGATGCATTCTGTTCGAAATGCTTGCTCGTAAAGGTGTTCCCGCGAAATATGTGAACATCTACGTGCTCTATACTCAAACACTACAGGCCGTGTTAGGGTCTACGGTGGCCTATCGGATAGCTTTCCGACCAAAAGTGGCGTTCGTCAGGGTTGTCCGATTTCTGCTTGCTAACGAGGAACTCGAGGTTGTTGATCAATTCACTTATCTTGGCAGCTGCATCAGCAATGATGGGCGCATAGAAACTGACGTCAGCTCACGCATTGCAAAAGCCAGAGCTACCTTCTTGAACCTGCGGCATCTTTGGCGACAGAAGGGAGTTTCCCTCCGTCTGAAAGACTGGGTATAAAAGGCTGCAGTGACGGCCGTTCTGCCCTATGGGAGTGAGACTTGGCACCTTCGGTCTGAAGATCTGAGGCGCCTTCAAGTCTTTGATCATCATTGTCTGCGAAGCATTGCTGGAGTCGGATGGCACCAACGCGTCCGCAGCCATGATGTGTGTAGACGAGTACTAGTTGGTGTTAATCATGACAGCTCCCTAGAAAAAAAGATAGCACTGAATAAGTTGCGTTGGCTCGGGCACTTGCTCCGTATGTCTGGTCACCGTTTACATAAGAGGGCCTTGTTTAGTTTGCTAAGTGTAGGGTGGCGCAAGTCTCGGAGTGGACAAAAGTTGACTTGGCAGCGGGAAATGAAGTTACTGACGACCAAACTGGGTGCCGTTGGTCCATCTCGCCTTCCGGGTTGGAGTCCACGTGACTCACCTTGTGCTTGGCTCGAGACTTTACAGGACATGGCTCGCAGTAGCCACCAGTGGCGCGTCTGCTGCCGTCTCCTAATCGGATTGTCTGTTTAAAGTGTGTTTGGTGCTGAGTTATCTGCGGGGTAATTGCTGATTATGACGCGGGGCAGTAAAAGCCGCAAGGAAGCTGTCTCGCCGATGCCGCCTTATCTTTGCACGATAGCCAGCTGTTTGTGACGGTATGTTGTCTACACAAGGTGTAGGCGCCTTGACCCTGAATGTTTGCTTAGGGCATTAATGTTTTCAGGTAAGTCCTCCTTCTCTCCCACTTTTTATTCTTTATTTCATAAGTCATCATGGTTGTATGGCAGCAAAGCATCAGTTCAAATGGCTGATGTACTGCTGTTGTTAAGTGATTGATTGCGTTGGCTCGTTGTCTTACCATCATCTACTGAGTCATGTGATCTCCTCTGGAATGCTGACGTCATTCTTCCTAGACATTGCGGAGATCCCGCATGGACTGATGCTGTTGAAGCATAGTGTGGCGCGTTTACTAGTTGATGTGGCTCGATCTTTTTGCATGGCGGTGACGACTAACTTATTTGTTTAATGCCGAACACCTCACTGAGGAGGTTCTCTGTCGCTGACAGCTGTCTTTGTCCTCTTTGTCATGAACAGAGTCCTAGGAACTCAATGCGAAAAGTTAGCTAGCTGTCTTACTCTTTTTCTTTCACCCAGTTGCTCACAAATATTACGTAGTGCACTGCCTACGTGGAAATCGAATAAAGCCTAATGCGGCGCTTCGACCTCACTTGAGTACGCTTAAACCATAGTCAATTTGCCACGAATGTGTTTTTTCTAGGTTGGTCGCACCTGTTCAGAACGCTCTCTGTATTCTGAATTTTCTAACCTGGACTCCATGGACTCGTTTGGGTGGTGATCTACGACCTCACCACTTTCAGTTCTTCTCCTATCTCTCCCTTTCTCTTTGCGCTTTTGCTTGTTCTACTTTCTAAGTGACTGTCAAACCCGGAGTATGGCAACAACAGCCATTTTGCGGAGCATATGTTTTGCTCCTTCGGAGTGCAAACCACTGTCACAGGTTTGGTCCAGCTGAGCGCCTGACCTAGTTGTCACCGAACAGTCGCTCGGCGTTGTCGATCGATTTACTTATTTACGTTGCTGACTCATCTCTGGTATTCACACCAACGATGACATTGCCACACTCATTGCTAAGGCTCGTGTGGCTTTTCCATCTCAGCTACCTACAAAGGCGGGTAGAAATAAGCTTAATGATTTCGAAAGGATTACGCAACACCGCAGCATGGTCATTTATACTGTGTGGATCAGAGAATTGGCCACTACGTCCCCACCTCCGTTGTCTGCAGAGTGTAGCTTGTGTCTGTTGGAAGAATCGAACACGTTTGCTTGGCACCAGACGAACCGATACCTCAATAAAGGTCTTGTTGTAATCAAATCGCCTCCACTTACTCCGTTCTGTTTTCTGTATGGCTCTAAACCGTCGATTTAATGTGTTTTGTGTACTTGTATTTCACAAAACGGAATAACACCCCCCACCCCCCGATGATCAGTCTCTGACATGGCAAAAACCATCATTCCATATGTTAGGTAGTGGTGCGAACCCCCAAGGTATTGCGTTACGATGGAAAAGGAGGAGAGTCTGATTGAAACTTGCTTTCCACCTGGTTGGGGGTTCCGGAATCAGCCATCTCACCGATTAGACACCCCATTTCTTGTAGCGCTTTCTGGAATATTCTTGCATTGGTCCCTTCGTTTTTAACCGCTAACCATCCCATCTGACGTTTTTCCTACTTACTCGCTCCTGTTGTATTTTTGCCGTCTTGGTGACATTTATCAACGAAGCTGGATCAGTCACAAACCGGCTCACTAATCATATCTACCACAGTGAATTAAACAATGCCTCAGCTTTATGGCTCAACTTATCGTCACCAAACTTGTTCCTTCCGCCTCTCCCAAACGAAAAGTTTACTTAATTAACCGACTTGCAATCTTCGAGTTGGGTGACGGCTCCCTCCTGTGTTATGACAGCTTGACAGATTGGAACAAACTTGTGCACTCTTCTGCATGTGCGTTTTGCTTTCAGGTCACCATGTACCACTGCAGAACGGCGATACCACGTCGCATTTCCTCGTTATTTCTGCATTTTATCGGTAGATCCTCTGATAATGCGATACGTCCAATCTTGCCCGATGGTTCATTACTCGTTGACGACATTAACCAGTTGCTCGTCCACCGGTCCAGCTCGTGCCTTGCTCCTGTCTCACTTGTTCATCGACCTAGCAGTGCAAGTCGACAAACTTGAAGAGGATACTTGCGTTCGATTATCGCTGTCTCCGCAGTTTAGCTCATATCTGGTGGGAACCGCTTGCACTGAATCGTTTTTTTTGAACTTGGACACCATCATAGAATTGCTCGATCCTCCGGGGTGTCTGTTGGCCACCTTCTACGGTCCCATTAGCTTACCAGTAATGCTTTGTGCGATCATTTGATAACCTTGTTTCAAAATAATTAAGACATTTACCATATGTGCGTGACATTCTGTTCTCCTGAAATGTCCAGGTTGTCAGTTACATTGTCACCAAGCATACCCCTCAGTTGAGACTTTGCTGATACTCCTGTGCTCGGCCTTTTCTACAAATTGTTACTTGCTCCTCTGCTTTCCAGTTGGGTTTTGCGCTCTACTTGTTTTGGTCTCCTACCTCGTTGCGTTTACCTCCTACACTATTTTCCCTTCGCCAGCCGGTTGGTACGAATCCAGATACTCGATGGAGTTCACTGCACGTTTGAATTCAATCAGTCAAAATAAATAAATGGATACCATTTTCTCAATAACGCGAAGCCCGACTG